CCCCAAAGTTCTTCAACAGAGCAAATCCCAAAAATAAATAAATAAATAAATTTATAGGATTTATGTGTTTTCAAGACCTTAAAACTCTGAAATTTTTATAGCTCTTGATTTCATTGGGAGTAAAAGAACGACATGACTATAAGATCATAGCGTACATGAACGACATGACTCTAAGATCATAGCGTACATGAAACCCTAAGTCATGAGGAGGATTTATGTGGGTGAAAGACATCAAGAGATTTAAGGGTTGCCTCTAGTTCGGGTCGGTCATTATTTATTGCACCTCATGATTGCGTGATGAGCCAGGGCATTGTGTTTTTATGTAATGGATGATATGAGCTAGATGATTATGTATATTTGAGCCCTAAATGAGAAGGTTAAGGCTTAGAAGATATTAACCTAAATCCCTGACTTATAGCAAAACATTCTCATAGTATGTGCATAAACAGTTGCAAAATAGAAATTCGCTTTTCTAGAGGATCCATTGTGAAGAGGTATGTACATATGTCAGGAGATGAATCCCCGCACCTTGTAAATTCCTATTATTAGGTGTGTACTTGTAATTCACTAGAATTTGGGGATTCATAGTTACTCACTGATTTAACTTTGATAAACTATCAAGAGCATCTGATTAGCACTGAGGGTCATGAATTTGATGAGTCATACCAACAAGGTGACTTTGGATTTTGTGTTGAGCTTAGTGAAGTGTTACGATGCTTAATTCAGCACTATAGGATCCAAATTCCCCTTGAGAAGATATTTAGATGGTGTCAAAATAATTTATTTTAATTAAGAATGATTAAATGAATTTTTGGATATTTTTTAAAATCTTTTAAGCAACAAAATAAATTTTTTAAAATTGTTTATAAGAAATGATACTTGAGGACATACGCATGGGACCAGCACGACCCAAATGGCCAATGGGTGTCCACGTAGGCCATGGGGGCCCCCCAAATCACCCTCACGTGGAGGTGACATCGGCATGATGTCAACCCTCATAGACCCCTTTTGCCTTTTTAATATTTTTGTATTAAAGGGGGCATTTAAATATAGTATTTTAGTGACTTTTTTGGAAAATAAAAAATGGAAAAAGTTTAAATAAGGATGCTACCTTATAATGTAGAACTACGGATGCCCCTAAAAAATCCATCGAAAAAGGTAGTTTTAATGTTGAAAAATCTTTTGATTGATCATCTCGACATCAAGATGTATGACTATAAAAAATAAAAAGATTTTAAGTCTCAGAAATAGTTCAATTTACAACATATAATCTACACTGTCTATTTTCAAGATTTTCATATGTTTATAGATCTACTTGATTTTAACTATTTTTTAAATTTTATAATCAGATATAAAAATAGATTTTGAGTAATCCCAATACATTTTACATCAAAATTATATACCATGATAAAATTTGAAGGGCACCGTACCTCTACACCTATGGAGGCGTCCGTATGCCAACTGCACCTTTAAAAAATTGAATAGATGCACATGTTTTTTATGTGATAATTGATTTTATGCATATGTGTGAGCCTTTCTAGAAAGGGCATACAGTTTGGTATTTCAATTGAAACCCTATAATTGTAATATTACGCTTAACTAACTTATACATGTGGCACCATATGATTAGCTACATATGCTTTTTCAAAATAGAGAGAAAGTTTCAATTTTAAATTTTACTAGAAAATGTGTCAAATTACCTCAAGGGTAGATGCCCATATCCTTGATTTCTAGTTTGATTATTTAAAAGAGCATTAGTATTTTTATAAAAGGGAAATTTTGATTGAATTATAGAATAAATAGAGGATAAAGGTGTTTTAATTCTAACTGCACATCAAGATGGCATGATGGTGGATGTAAAGCTAAGATCAAGTATCTTTTTATAATCATAAATTATTAACATGAATGTCCAAGATACATTTATCTAGAAACATCTCAACATTAAAAATTTATAAATACCCCCTCATCCTCCCATTTACCACACACAAATCTCATATTTCTCTATCTTAGAGTGGCACACCCATTCTCTCACTCTAGATGTGGCATGCTCTAGCCTCTTCCCTCATTTCTCTCTCATCATGTGAGAAAAACTAGATTGCAGTGAGGAGAAGAAAAACCTAGTGAGAGAAATACATAATTGAGCTTCATTAAAGCTCAAATCAAGCTCCATCATGCTAAAGGATGATCAAGATCCCATGACGCTCTCCAATTAAGTAATATATTGACCTTTCTTCATTGATTTTGAACTTCTTCATTTCTGTAAAATCCAATTTACAGCAAGGTATCTCCATATAATAGTCCCATAACTCATTAGTTCTTGATCTAAATATTGATCCTTGTGACTAAGGGTATCATCCATGTTCAGATGGGCTACTTTTTCCAAGAATTTTATGTGATTTTTATAGAATTTAATCGACTGAAATTTTCTAAGATTTTGAGATCAAAATCAATTCATTAAATCACATAATTAATGGAGCAATATGGTGTATTTTCAAAGGGAAACCATATCGAATTTTTCCCAAGGTGTGCCTATGATTTTGAGCTTGATCATGTGATCTAAGCCTGCATTTCTTCCATGAAATCCACCAAGAGTTTGTAATTTTGAAAGTCCTTCCATCCATAACAAGTGTAGATTCATAAATGCTTGGCTTCACATTACTTTGATAGAGTAAATTTGGCATTTTTTAAGAGGCTTGTCATCACATGTCAATACTATAGCACATAGCTAAGTCCCATAGCTATAAACCGGGCACCAAGAGCTCTTGATGGCTTCCCATGATCTTGTTGCTTTTTTTACCAGAGCATTTATATATTTGTAATGTGGAAATCATGATTTGATGTCTTATATTGGAAATTGATGTATAATTTTGCTATGTAGGTTTTTATACTGCTGAATTTTCAAGAGCACTAGTTTTAAGTGTTATATATTTGATCTATTTGAGTAGCCTTGTATTGTTTTTTACAAGGGACCCAAATTGAGTTGTATCCTCATTGTAATAAGTGTATGCAAAATGTTTGAAAGCGGTAATTTCTTTTATGTGGCATGATATGCCGTAAGTTTTATAATTTATAAGGAAATTGAGTTTTATTGTCAAGTTTGTCTCAAATTTTAAAGTGTAAATCCTTGGACTGGGTTTTTATACACTATCCACCTTCTCTGTATGTAACTCAAAAAATTAACATTCGAACTGAAACTATCCAATTTATGGACATTAATACATGCCAAAAGATCTCATGCTCCCAAGTGAGCATACTGACCATTTACTTCCTTGGGCAAAACCCAAACTAGGAGTATTTTAAGACCCCAAATTTAGGGATTTAACCTCTTCAACCCCTACGTTATACAATTATAATCAATTTAAAAATTTCCACATTCCATTATCTATGGGCTTCAAAAAAAATATACACCTCAAGATTGAATAGAACCATCTAAGTTTTTAATGGAGAGATCTAAGCATTAACAAAAAAAAAAAAAGACCTTAAAATGCAATTTTTTTTTTTACGGATAATCAATTAGTGATTTTTTAAGTTGTTCCCAAATTTTTGGATTAAAAAGATCTTCTCAAGTTAGTTTTCTGCTTGAAGGAGTAAGTCTGCAGTATATGCTCCTGCAGGAACATAGTACGTGCACTCAGTCTCTCAAGCCCCAGAGCACTCATGCATACAGGAGCATTCATAATAGGCGCGTTAGCAAATTATATATGGGAAAAGGCTTGTGTTGTGATACTTGTACCCTACTTTGCGATGTGCTGATCTCTGTTGTCCGTTGTCAACAATGAACGGCTGATGTTAACAACTCCATTGAAAGACCTGTGCAGAGGAAAAGTTCAAATTAGTGGTCCTCTGGTGACAACATACTTACGACCGCGTCAAAATAGTACGTTACCTACAAATGTTTCAAAACAGTGTGCTTCCAAGATTTTGTTTCACCTACAATGGTTCAAAACAGTGTGCTTCCAAGATTTTGTTCCACCTCGTTTGGGCATGAGCACATAGTACTTACAAAAGTATGCTACAATCGCATGCTCTCTTTTTTCTTTTTATTTTTATATGTTAATGGGAATGGAGGATGGGACATTATGTTGAGGCATCAGCCCTGTAACCACTGAAGCCCCAACCGCATTTTTAAATAATGGCTTCGGTAGGGGAGCACATCATACAATTCCTAGGGCAAAGACCTATTTAAAAAGATTTTTTTAAGAGATAGTACATCATTTACCTTTGGTACAAAATAATTTTCCATCAAACGTCAAATCAGATGGTTACAAAAATATCATTGACTAGACTTCAAAGTTTTTTAAAAAAAAATCTTAAACTTCGTAATGATGTCTCACACTATGAAATTTGACATCTAATGTACTTGTAACCTCTTTGTACTAAAGATAAATGGTATATAATATACAATCCCTTTTCTTGAACTCTTCAGTCTAAAGTTTTGATTATCCATTTTAAAATCACTCGATGAATGTTTTCAAAGAAAATAATAATAATTTGGATTTTCTACATGCATGGACCCGAATATCCAGAAGTGCAGGTCTTCCCACTATCAAGAGAGTACTTATAAGCAAGCGTGTGTCGTCCTTTCTTTCTTTTTGTTTTGAGGTTGGTTGCTAGGCTATGGAGGATCTATCCCCAAAATTCGGGGTCCTAAAAAATGCCCCTGAGTACGTTTTTGCCTGACGGAGTAAGTGTACATTTTGCTCCAGTGAGAGAATGTGATCTTTTCACCTAGTTTCTGGGGGCAAGTTAGTTGATTCCCCCAATTGATACTTCGTATAAAACCTGACGTAGTCAAATTTTTATTTTTCCCCTTACATCTCAGTGTGGTTGCAATGTTTTGCATGCATCATACAGTATGCACCATTTAGTGCAGTACCCAATTCCCAAGCTTTTAATTCTTTTTTTTAAAATTTTAAAAAATAAAAGGAAATGAATCCCATGGATTGAGAAGACTACAAGAACAATAGAAGATGTTTATGATCTCAAAGCATATACATGAATTTCACTGAATCAATCAAGAATTGGCAGATATTTTTCGGTCTTTTACAGCAATGGAATACTCAAAACAGCATCCAAATGCACAATCACAAACATAATACACACATTTTGGCCTAGAAAATTCTGAAGACGAAATGGCCTCAACTCAAGCAAAAGAGAGATATCCACCAGATATCAGAGGTCTACTAAGACCCAACAATTTTCTCCTTTTTGGCCTTTTTAATAAGACCCAACTTCACCAGAAAATCATTAAATTTGTTCTGTTTGCCACATAATTAACCACCCCTGCCAACATTCCCGTGCCGCTGGTTCCTGAAATAACTTAGAAGTGATTGTGCCTGCATAACAACATCTACATTATCAATACACATATTTACCAAACTAACTACAAATACCAAGTTCAAAAGTTGTTGTTTTCCAATGTAAGAAGTTAGAAGTGAGAGTTTATAGATCAACAATTAATATCAGGAAGAGTTGCCCTCCTAACCCATGAAGTATTATTTTTGGGAAAGCAACATTCTGAATAGGTCATGCATTAATAGTTGCAATATGTGTTTGGCCTGTTATTTCCAAAATGAGCCTCGCTACCATTAAATCCCATAAAGATCAACATATGATACCATGTATGAGATGGAGAAATGGTTAATATTTTACCTGCAAATTGGAAACGGGACTCTCTCTGAAATCTTGTTATGCTAAGTGTAGTTGGCAATCACCATTAGCACCTACTCTAACATCAATGCTTATCTTGGGTGAGTGGAGGCATGTAGTTCAAACCTTAGTCTATCGTCAATTATAATAGTTAAAGGATAAATGAGAGGTAAATCATTGTGCGTTATCTTCTATTTGTGCAAGTTACTGAATTTATTTTTATGAATTATGATTAACATCAGATAATTAACCAAAAATTCAAGAATCAGAGAACATACTCCGAATGATTTTTTTCTTAGTAAACCAGACAGGAAAAGAATATCACGAATCACATTGACTATGATACAGTAGTCCAAAGGCCATCATCTGTCTGTTTCTGACATCAAGGGGTGGAGATTAACAGCAGAGGGGCCCACAGGAAATTCACCCAGGTATAACTTATCCTCACCACCCATGAGAGGAACAGGATTATAGATGCCCCTTTGGAGTACCATAAGCCACACTTTATAGGATTATCATCCCCCTTTTTAAACGGACTGACCGCATTGTATTTATAGCATAAGAGATGTACACATTTTATGAATGGCACCACCATACACTTTCCCAAACAAATACAGTTGTCTGGTTAATCAATATAGTTAGAACTCCACGAATGAGTTCCACTGATATTAATGGTGTGGGGAGAGAAAGAGAGAGAGACCCACCATTGGGTTCACGTCCTGATTTTATTGGGGTCCCACTACCCATCAATTTTACTGGACAATGATGGCCACAATGGACTATGGTTTCCACCTCTCCATAGTCATTTGATTATAATATAAATCAACCATAGTCATTATTTATCCCAAATAAAAGAAAGTTGCTTTTTTTATAAAAAAAAATCATAAGAAAAAAAAGTCACTTGCATACTCAATATAAGTAGGAAGCATACCTTTTCTCTAGCTCGAGGAGTGCCAGACTGGGACAAAGCAACCAGTGGGGGCACTGCCCCTTCTTGGAGCACATTGCTACAAAATCTATGGCTATTGGTGCACAATTGCAGCAAAGCCGCAGCCGCATTTTCCTTTCCTCTTGAGGAACCAAGCTCCACAACCTCGACTAAGGCAGTGATTCCACCTTCAGCTCCAATAGCTGTTCGGCCCTCAGGAATAGTAGCAAGGTTAGCCAAAACAGCAACCGCCTTATCAACCATCCCAGCGGCTGGGTCCATCAAATCAACAAGATGCTTCACAGCCCCAGCGTGAACAATTCTTGCTTTATTCTCATGAAATATTGATAAATTAAACAAGGCAGTAGCTGCATCTTTCTTTCCTCGAGGAGTCCCATTGCCCAACAAATGAACTAAGGGTTTTATTGCATCAGATCTCCCAATCTTGATCTTATTCTCTTCAATGACCGAAAGGCTAAAGAGGGTGGCAGCTGAATTCTCCCTAGCCTCGGGATTCCCTGTCCTGAGAACATGAATAAGTGGCTCGATGGCCCCCTCGTTGGCGATAATAGTCTTATTGTTGTCATTTATGGAGAGATTCAATAGGGCAGTTACGGCATTCTCTTGGGTCTTCAAATCCTCTGAATGTAATAGCCCAACTAACAAGCGAATGGCTCCACAATTAGCGATAACTATCCTATTCTCCATATTGTGCTTGGCTAGGAGTCTTAGCTCCGCTGCTGCGTCCCTTTTCACCTCATCCAAGGGGCTCTGTAAATCCTCAACCAGTTTTCGAACTTCGGTTTCGACGCCCAATAGGTCAGGCCTCGAGTCCATCGAAGGAGTGGATACTATTCTTGGGACAAAGCCTCGGTCTAATGGCCGCCTCCAAATATTTTGGCCTCTTGATCTCCCCTCTAGTGGTTTGGTTAACATTTCTGACTTATCCCTAATGGGGGTAGAGGAGGTTGAAGTAGGCTCAGAGGTGACTTCACCAGACGCATCACTGGCATATTGGGTCATATCACTTGAGGCACGTGAGACCTCATTGACTTCTCCTGATGCCACTCCCTGTGTATAATCTGTACTAGAAGCTGCACTAGAGACTGAAGCACTTCGATTATGGCCTGGAAAACCATCTTCAATTTGGCTACATTCTGATAACTCTTTCCCCGATGGTGTCTCAGCTTGAGCACTAGAACCCACTTTCTGCTCTTCCAAGATGCATGCTTGATCGTCAGGAGTAATCAATGAAACCCTAGAAAGCTCCTTCTCAGACATATTTCCCGAATTTTGAGATTCTAAAGGCAACACACTAAGAGAAACACCATCTATGGGCTGGGTATAAGGTGGAGAGGGCTTAGGATGAGTTCCATTGGAGGACAAAAAGCTCTGGTGTGGGCTAACAGTCCGGGCTCTTTCAGGGGATCTTGGAAGCTTGGAGACATGTGTTTTTTGGGAAAGAGTTGATGGCTCAGCTACACCATGGTCTGAACGAGCTAGGAGGTTCAAGGACTGGTTTGAGCTCATAGACTTAATGGGATCAGGCATCTTGACATTGTTCGACTCACACCAGTTTGCTATTAGTGCTTTAACAGTAAAGTTTGGTATGAGATTGGTGTGGGCTAGTGACTGGCGTGTTTTGGGGCAAACTGTCAACCCCTGATCGAGCCATTTCCGAATGAAGGCTCGCTCATATGTTTGGCCTGATGCCACAATTACTGGGTCCGACATGAGTTCAAGGGAAAGTGGGCAGCAAAAATCAGGAGGTACTGGAACCCTATCAATGGCCTGTGATTGCTTGATTTTCACCAGACATTCATGCATGCACATAACGAGAGCAATAATTTGATCAATGTATTCCACTTCCCTTTCATTCTTTTCATTGTCGACCTGCAACTTGACCTTCTCCAAAGCCACAGCCTCCATCAACAGTTCCTGGTTCGATGTCAAGCTCAGTGAGTCGGCAATCCTAGCCAGGCTTTCTGAACTTGGTATCAAGTTCTCTTTTTGGTCCTTGATAGCTCTTTTAATCGCATCAGAGGTTTCATCTGATCTTATACACTGCAGTTCCTGCAGACAGTTCTGTTTTGATAGAGTTGGATCAGCTAAATGATATCCCAGCTAGGAGGAAAATTCACTAACACACACACACATACACAGGAATAAATCTCCAGTATCACTTTTTTTAGTACCTGAAGGAATGCTGAATCTAAACTTAGCAAAGCAGATTGCGGCGAAGAACATAGTAGCTGACAGATCTCCAGAGCATTTCTCTGAATTTTTCCAACTAAAGGCTCGATTTGCAGAATCTGGACATAATAAACTAGTGAGTCATAAGCTCATCATGAATTATACCAAAGATGAATTTTTCGGCATGATTTCATTGTGGTGCATATATCGTATTTGGACATGCAAAGACAAAGCCCGCGTCAGTGATCCCAACATATCTTCAATTAAAAAATTTGTTAATACAATGTTTTACAAAAAAATAAAAAGAAAAAGTCAAGTAAATCAAGAACATAGCTAAACATTTTTTCCCGGTAATATTACCAAAAAATCAATTATTAAGTAAGATAATTACAGGAAGAAGAAAACAAACAGCGCACATGAACATATCTTCAAAGCATCATCAGGCATTCCCAAAACATGCTTCAAATATTGCCAATGTCAGGTGATCAATTGAACTACCAATAAAGGTATGCAAGGCTATCGAATGAAATTCTGCTTCCATTGACTACAGATTAGGGATTTGTGAATAAAATAGACTGTAGACCTCTGAAAATGCGAGGATCCAAAGCTTGAAACTAGGCAACTTGTTAGGCCATTGTACAAGTAAAGGCATTTCAAAATTTACCACAGGCATTACTTCCAATACATGCACAGCTATGAAGAGGCCTTGGCAATGAACTTCTTTACCGGAAATACCTGGGAATTGTCTAACAATATTCACCCAAAAGTTTTCCAGAAAGGATTACTTATGCCAAAAATATACAGTGACGGAATTAGAGAGAGAAACCCACATAACACACAAAATTGAGAGAGAGAGAGAAGAGGCTCCAAATGCACAAAATATACAGGATGGAATTAGAGAGAGAAACCCACAGAATGCACAAGAATGAGAGAAAGAGAAGAGACTCCAACAGGGTTCCATGCTCCTATCAAATATTTAATATAACACTATTTAATATAATATGAAATCGCCCTCATGTTTACATGACTTGCCATATGTAACCAAAAAAATTACATAAAAGGCAGGGTTTTTATGTGTCCTGGGACGCACCTATTTAAGTGAGTCCACCCACACAAGAAGAACTATGAGCCTTAAAATGGTATGTCTTGTACCATTTTTGCTCGTTAATTTTTATTCTGAGAAGAACTACGAGCCTTAAAAATGGTTTATCTTGTACCATATTTGCTCTTTTTTTTTTTCTTCAAAGATCATCAGACCTGCATTGCGTTGGGACTCAAATTCATAGATCTACGGCAAAAATGGATTTACAGTGAAATGGATTTTTTGGGTCCTAATCCTTCCAAAACCGGAGCGGACACGAGTAGGCTGACTTGCCAAATACTTTTCCTTACATAAAGGAGATACAATGTTAATGCAAATAATAAAATATAGATAATGATAGTCATGTCACTGCTGCCTGCTGACCCGTTAGCATCAGTTCGCACACTAAGGAATAATGTTTCATGTATGTCATTGTCTCAGTGAATAAATCATGAAGACATTATATAATTTCTCAATAAACACTTTAGTTTAACCCCGATAAGTTAAACTTCTCCTGGTGTTTTTAGTTGATGATAACCTTGGATCTAATCAAAGAAAAATCGTGTACTAGTTTTTACTTGTTACCATTTATTAGGTTATTTGACGTTTGAATATGATTCTTAATACAGACTTATGCAAAAATGTAATTATCTAAATAGGAGATAATCGCAATGAAGGAGAAATATAGTGTCAATTAATAACTTACCTTAAAAAGAATAAACATGACTTATTTAAATCCAAAGTGAGATGTTTTTTTTTTTTAATTATGTGTATAAAAAATTCATATCTATGATGAATTATGACAGTATGATTGAAGTCCATATTTACCAACCTAGTGAAAAAAATCATATTATCCATGCATAAAAAATTATTTCACTAAAAAATAATCTAGTTATTCAATATTAAAACATCTGGCGCATTTCCTATAAAACTTCAGTGAAAAGAGATTAGCGGGAATATTGCAATAATATTCTCCACTTATACGACGTGATAATGATATTTTTTGCTAAGATTTCACTTTAGGTGGATCCCCAGATACTTCATCTTTGTAGTAAATTTCAAAATCATGAGCGCCTTCTAACTTCCATGAAATTAAGGATTCCCCTCTGTGGGTCTTCAATAGAACAAGTTGGATGAGATGAGGCGCCCCATGGAAGAAGTTACAACAACAACTTGCCCAAAAAAGGAAGAGGAAGAACTTATACTTCTATGCATATCATTCCTCGGTGGCTGAGGTTAAGGCACTCCTGATGGGCCGTAGGCTTTGGTATGATTGAAGGAGATTGTCCTAATTTTAAAAATAAAAATAAAAAAATAAAAGATGATTGTCCTATTGTTAGTAGATAGGCTTAGATGTTTTGGATTCCAATGGCAGGCATTCAGCCTGGAACTATGCTTCGTCCCACCTTCCATCTTTAAAAAGGATGGCAAATGTCATGATTATATTTTCCTTCAAAATCTTTTTCAATTTTCATTTTTACAGCATCTAAACTAAATCTAGTGAAATTTTTTGATGATTAAATCTACTGAAAATATTAAAATTTACTCCAGAATATCCCAATTTTTATAATCTATTCCAAATATATTTCAACTTCTTAACCAGATTATTATAATGTAGTTCAACATATTCCAAATTTTCATAGGGAAGTATGGATTCGAACCAAAAGTTTGGGATGGAGAAAAAGGGTTCCATATCACCAGGTACCAAGTCCATTTACTATACATGCCATGTGTCAAACAACCATTCACAAAAATACATTTCTTATGCTACAGAAATCAACTATATGCTAATCTTATCACTGAATTTGGGTTGAAATTGCTTCCCAGGTATCAAATAAGAAAGAACATTACACAATTGAAAGCATACCGTATAGATCCTGCTCATCAATGGTTGCCAGCCCTCCATAAGCTCCCTAGTCTCATTAACAACCATATCCAATTCTTCAAATTCCTTAGTAAGCTGCTCATCTAACTCTATCTGAGCATCAACGATTTTATCAAGAACGGGTCTCAACAGCTTCAACATTTCAACTATTTTAGGATAGTCTCTCTGAACTGGCTCAAGCTTGATATTGTTGCAGGAAACTATATGAGTGAAGCTGGACATGATGTTGAGTAAACACCTTAAAGTTGACTTGTCCATCACGCCTGTTACAAAAGAAGTGCAAGGATAATGATGATCAAAAAAAAAAACAAGGCAAGACTACAAATCATGGATATAAACAATTATCAAAGGGAACTTATAGACTAACTCAATGGACTATGGTGTACTCATATTTGACTAGGTCCACAACCAGCACTATCCAGTGAAATGGTGAGTGGTGATTGAAAGCGAGTGGGATCTACCATAATATGGCATGACCATCCACTCGTTTTCCATCAATGGATGGTGAGGAGCCCAATACAGTTTCCTGTAATCTAATGCTGATGATGTAATGAAAAAAAGGAAGCAATATATAACAAAAATGTCACATGCTGGACATAGGCCTGGTTCTCTAAGAACTCCTATTCCTCTATCCCCCAAATTCACATTCATTCCAACAGAAACATAAAACACACACACAAAAAAAAAATCGCAGTTCAAAAATTCAATCCAGTTTCTAATAGAAGTGATAAATGCATAATGCATTGAGAAACCTGTTGCTTTGATGATTTTACGCAAAAGGAACTTATAGATGCAAAGACCATCATGTACATTTGGGGGATCCTTAGTGAGGATTTAACTGCTAAGATGAGCCCCACCTTAATTTCAGTAGATAGTGGGGAACAGATTAAAGCTAATGGTAGACGCAAAAATGAACCAATTTGTAAAAGCAAGCACGGCAATTTATATGTTTGCACCATGCATTGTGTTTCACATCAATAGATTATGGACAAATTCACCATAGATGCACAAAAACTACCCTAATGAGGTATCTGACCAGGAACTCAGTGAAACTTGGACTGCCAATGGGCCAGGTATAAAACTGGCGCCAGGCCTGAAATCCGTGCCCGGTGGCTGTGCACCTGGGCTAGGGGACCATGGAAACAGCTGGCTCATTGGTTGTTTTTCTTGTAATTTAAATAAATTATAAAAAATATTAAAAAAATGGGTTAACATGGGATTTGAAATCCACCATGGCAAGTCCCAAGCTGGTCATAACGGTCCCAAGCCTAGATAAAGAAAGCTTGTATAAAACTTTGCCACATCTTTTCATGAATCTTGAACCTCAGCTGACCCCAAATAATAGGGATAAGGCTTGGATGATGATGACAATGCTAAGATGGGATTTGAACATAATGCTTGTCTTTGATTTTGACCCATGTGTTTTAAGTTATTTTCTATAAAAAGTAACAAATTAGTACTACGTCTGGACATATACAAACACTATCCATTTGACACATTTGCATGGATGTGGTGCGCTGGAGTTGGTAAAATATAGGCAGCTGTGTCAATTCTTTGAATCCAAGTCAAACACATATTCTCCAACCATGTCCCAGTAACACAGGGACCAAATTATTATATGCCCTCCAAGAAATGAGCACATTTAGTGTACAAAATTGAAAGCTTATGAGCTCACTGGAATCCCGAATGCCCCTCATATGGGCAAGGGGTTCGCCAAAAGTGCAATATGGGGCAAACAAAGGTGCCATTATAAAAGATTTAGTCAAAATCTTATTTTCTTTTCTATGATTGTAGAGTTGAGATAGCAACGTGTACCTTGTTGTATTCATAGACATTTTTTAAATGCATGTTATACACCAAATAGAAGTAAAGAATGGCCCTCCTTTTCCACTTATGTCGAGATTCATATTTATCATTGCCTAAAAAGAAGTTTCTTCTTCAAAAAACTCCTTAAAAAGGGTATGCTACGATCTCAAACAAACAACTAAACCTAAATTCACTAAATCCAGCTTTATGTCTCTCTATTATGATATTTAGCATAGCAGAATCAGGACCTTTCTTCCAAGTAGACAACCTCCAAGAAGATGAGAGTATACAAATATGCATATCTATGCTTCTTTTTTTTCTTTCTTCTTTCTTTCTTTGATGCTTATCAATGTTAATGATCAACCATGTTCAACAAATTCATCAATATAAATCATATATTACCATAATAGCATCAGAAGCACTAGTATTTCCAATAGATCCATAAGATTCAAGTAATAGCAACGAAACATCTACAGGAGAGCAGAGAGTAACTGAGGAAGATGATGAGGCACCTATCAAAATTTTGCTTCCGATTTGAGAAGCATTTTGATGAGGGACCGACCAATTCGCACGTAAATGGCATACATTGGTATAGCCTTTCAAAGCCAAATAAACTAACTCAAAGATACAGAAGGTCGTTTGAAGATCCAAGCAAGTCCAATGGACTGCCAATAACTTGGTTTGCAAGGCAAATGGAACTCTGACAGGGGCTTTTCATCAGTTTACCTTGAGGAGCTGGTGATGTAACATTGCACCCATCTCATTTTCCCTACCCACAACATAGGGGAACTTTCCCATTTTCTATACCAGAAAATAAGTTATCCTTTTGTTTTTGAAAACTGCTTCAAAATATCAGCTTTTTTAAGTTGCGATACTTTATAATTCCTATTCTGAAGTCCATAAGATACTGGTGCCACAAATGCCGACATCTCAAATAGTTTTTTCTTTAAATAGAAGACAGATAATGGTAATTCAAATACCAATAATTTGTAAACAAGGATTTCTAAAATAAGTCTAGGTTTTGTGGCAGGAACTAATTGGGATAGTGGCCCTTCTGCCAATTCTGGCCAAAGAAGAAAAGGGTGCTCTTTTAATATTTTTCATTCACGTAGGTGTGTTCTTATTAAAATAAACATCTCATAAGGGCTCTTCTATAAAAATTCGTCCTAAATATAATGAGTTTCTCTAGATGATGTCCCCATCTATTGGTGTAATATTGAAACAAGAAAGGTTTCTTGTTCATGAATGCTATCGTCAACCAATGGAGTTGATTTCACTCAATCAAGGCCCCGGCATTCATCTCATGCATTTGACAATCGTATATAGTGAAAATAGGAATTGCATAAAAGGCGTTCTAGCATCTCCCTATCCTCTTTAGCCCTACACCTCATGTAAACCATTTTGATAATACTCAATAGGACTTCCTTTTTTTCCTTTTTCTAAGTGTTCGCTCAAACAGCTCCTTTATCTCTTCAATCTTTGAATCCCATCCGATAAAAAGGCATCTAGTTTGGACCTTTAGAAGCTTCCTCGTAGTAATTATTCACTTGCAATTTATATTCCCCACTATTACAGCGGCATGCATACACAGTAAACGTATAATTGTTCATCTAATCCGAAATAATTGACATAAAAAAAAAAAAACTAAACAATAACAAAATAACCAGTAACCTAATCTATTTGTGATGTTTAAACAGTTTGAACAGACCTGGTAATCGAAGATACCTAATCTATTTGTGATGTTTAAACAGTTTCAACAGACCCGGTAATCGAAGATACCATGAAGCCCAACAACATAGCAGATTACTTCCACCCTTATCATGTAATAAGAGAACAGCAGTGATAATCATAAATAGAAATTGTATGTTTCAATTTCCACTAATTCAATATTAGAACCAAAAAAATCAGCCAAACCTGATTTAAATGATAAAGATACAAATAAAGCCCAAGCTACCGAACGAGCCCAGAACAATAAGATTATTTCTCAATTGATCAATTGTATAATAAATCATAGAACAAAATCAAATTCAACTGTAGATGATATAAAAAGCAGAATACCTTTCCCTTTCTCTTGAACCTCCATAACTCTTGAGATTGAAAGGCCGGGCAAAACGAAACTTGCCCGAATAACCTCTTCACATTGCATTCGCCCTCAAAACCCAATCTCAGAAAAATACAGAAATACAAAAAAGGGGGGCAAAAAAAGGCAAAGAGGTACAGCTCAAACCCCTGGTTTCCCTTTCAAATGGCCATTGAAGTGTCAATATCAAGGCCACCCAACAGCTGGAATGCATAAAAACTCTCATGAATGGAAATCATATCAATTTCCGGCAAAAACCCAATTACGAGAATCTGCTGTCTCCCTCTCTAATGATTCAGAATCCCCTCAACTAAAGCTAGTTTAAGTTGTTACGCATAGAAAGAAATGGAGCTCTGGGGCGATGGGGATCTGCAAGATTTGACGCATACGAGGAAAGGCCAAAACTACGAATTATGGGATGATATTGTTTTGATGGGAGGGGGGAACAAGCCTTCGGTCAAAAGTGCAGAGCTTTTAGAGAGAGAAAGAGAGGCAGGTAGAGAGAAATTGAGAATAGGAGATGATGGGTTTCATCTCTCATTAGGATGCGCGTTTTCATCTCTCTCCTGTTTCTAGAACAAACATGGAACATGGGATTTCTTTCTCTTCTCTAAAACTTCAAAAAAATCAAAATATGGGTTTTCTCTCTCTCTCTCTAGCTTTGAAATTTGGTTTTACTTGTATCGATTCTGTTAAATAAATATTAGTAGAGAGAGAATAAGAATAGGAACATGGGTCTCACTTGTTTCTCTCACTACGTCTTGTACGAAACCTTGGGTACTCTCTCTTTCAACTTCAAAAAATGAAAATATGAGTCTTACCCATATGAGAAAATGCAGGTTTTTAGAGAGAGAATGAAATAAGGATATGGGTTTATTCTCTCACTAAAATGAAGAATAACTTTCTCTCTCTTCCTTCTCTCAACTTGGAAGGAATGGAAGTATGGGAGGTTGTAGAGAGAGAATAACAGTATGAGATTGACTTGTTTCTCTCACTACAATGAGAATAGTATAATAAACCTAAATATTTTCTCTCTTCTATAATTACTAGGAGCAAAACTTTGGTCTTTACCCTTCCAAAAAAGTATAGGTTTGTTTCTCTCTCTAGAGTTAAGAAGTTGGTGTTACTTTAAATAAAATATAGGATTTGGTTCTCTCTCTAAGGTCTAGAATAAAAATATAAAGGGGAAGTTTTGGTTTCCTTTGTCGAGTCCCAACTGCCCCAATGGCATATAAAAAGCCCAGACCATTTTTATGATCCTGCATGAGCACACTATCTAATTGTTCCATTGGCTAAAATCTTGGGAGATGTACCCTCTTGGGCAGAGTGACCAACTTCGAATTTTTAGGACCCAAAATTTTTGTGTATAAGCTACTGGGCGTAGCGATCAGCTTTTAAAAGAAAAAAAAAAGAATTTGATATAATATATAGAATTTGTATATTATGATGTCATTTATTTTTACTACAAATATGTCAAAACTTCTTGTCATTGGATGTGAAATCCAATAAATAAAAGTGTGTCGCAATATTTGAAAAATTTTATTTTTGATTTTGTACCTAAAAAATGATACATCTTCAATCAACCAATTTCAAAATTAACAGTTAAAAATGATTGTGAGCTTCTTGAGTTAAAACTTAAACGAAAATACTCTTATTGTATATGTTTATGAATGTATATGTGCCCAACAAAAATAACATCAAATGAATATGGACAAGCTTTATATGAATTGGCCACCTGACCTGTTCATATGAGGCTTCCTTTCGAAATCCATCTTAGAGATGGACATCATATTCAAAAATCATAGGGGTAATCTATAACATGGTAAACATGTGTATAAACAAATAAAAAGAGATCATTTATTTTAAGGACAAGAGGTCATAAATCGGACGGTGAGTGTGCCATTAATTAGATTTAAAACTCAAAAAAACTTCTCAAACTTTGAGACACAACCCAAACAATCCAATTTTAACATCTAATGGCTAGAAGTAATTGTGAGCTCCTTGTAACAAAGATAAACCGCCTCATAGTATACATTCCCATAAAAAATTACTTTTTACAAAATAAAAATAATAGTTTTGATGTATTTTTCTACACCGTTGAATTGCTGCTTTTGGTAGGACAACCACCTTTTGACATCCATCTTTAAGATGGATGCTAGGGGCGGATGCAGATGTAGAACTGCGTCCCTTGAAGCACCTACACGTTTCCAATGATTAATTATCATCCAGTTTCCCGCTATTAGATCTAAGCATTTAAAAATCTAAAATTTAAATTGTTTTTTAAATAATAATCTAGTGATTCTTGGGTGGATGCCAGACTATTAAAAAAAAAAGGATAATGGTTTGATAGGGTTGCAGCCCTATCAAAGTAAATAAAGCCTCACCTCGTAACTCATCCAAATTACAATTCAAGCATTAGAAAACCTTTACATCAATCATCTTGACTTGAACGTTATGGTTGTGAAAAAAATTAGGATTTCGAACTCTTAAAATAGTGTACATTGTAACAAATTATCTATACCGTCTATTTCGCCCTAAAATAAATATTTGCATATCCACAATATCTATATCATTTTTTTAATTTCAAAATTTATTGTTAGTGTTGGAAATTAATTTTAGCGCCATCATATAGATTTTCTTTGCTGAAAGTGCTTTTCATATGATGATTTAGAGTAAGGCCTTATTTTGTTTTCATAGAGCCTAGGTCTTATAAAAACCTCATCCAAAAGAAAATCTCTAGAACAACACCAGGTCTTCTGCCCGAGTGGGTTGGTGCACAGTACGCTCCCGTGGGAGCATGCTTTACGCGCTTAAGAAAGAGTCGTGTTATTTTTAACCGAGTTTAATATATTTGGACCCTTCGCATTCATTTTAACTGAATTGACTTTGAATGGGTCAGGGTCGGGACAAGCAGGCAACATAAACCTTTTCAATATTTTAGCACGCGCTCATTGAATTTTGATGGATGATAGAAAATTAAAATATGTGAAGATAGAGGTTCTTCCACAATAAACTATGGTTTTAAAACTGGGCGTATGGGAAACTGGTTTGGATGGGTGAATTGTCGATTTGGGATCGGCGATCCGATCGAATTTCTGAATTAGTAGATAAAAAAAAAAAAGGAATTGGAAAAAGTAATAAAAATAATAAATGTTTGAACTAGATGATCCGACAGGTTCAGTATTGCTCGGCTCCTTAAGATAACCGGTTCCCTAATAGAAGTGGCCAGATCTATGAAAAAAAAACGGATTCGTGGTTCCGGATTAACAATTCCATCTAGACCACCGGTTTTTCAAACACAGTCTGAATAAAAATTCTCTCTCGTTACATAGTAGGGTATGTTTTTTGTATATATTTAATTTTTTTTTTTTATTTGGAGTACCTAAATGTGTCGAACATATATTTGGATTTCACCAGTAAAAAATTGATAACATGCAATACTGGTCGTTTGTTAGTCTTCCCTTCAACATGGGTCATCCATGATGTGAACTACTCAACCTTTTACCGGCCTAAAACAGAAGGAAAAATAAATTGAATATGGACCCTATATCAACTTGAATGAAAAAAAACAAAAACTTTTGAATTCATATAGATATCTAATTTTCAACAATCAAACACTTAAAACTATGTCTTTTAAAAAATAATCATATGATGATTTTAATTATCAAAGCAAAACACACCTTCAAATGGTGGTAAAAGATGTTGTTTCAATACTGGAAATCTATGTGATGGCTTGAAATTTTATCTTCATATCTAATTTTTAAACATATCTATGAATACTTAAAAAACTTGAAAATTGACAGTCTGAAAATGCATTACAAAATACAATAGTTCAAAGACTCAAAATCCATTTTTTTCCCATGTCTATACATTTTGAGGTCGAGATGATCAATTTGAGTATTTTGGGGCATCGAAACAACTTCTTTTAGTGAGCTTTTGATGTGTGCCTTAATTTGATTGTTTATCAATTTGAGTATTTTTTGGCATCCAAACAACTTCTTTTAGTGAACATTTTAGGTGTACCTTAATTTGATTGTTTAGAGCCTTTCCCTTATATAAATTCCTTTATATATATATGGACACGGTTTCTATGAGTCCATGGACTCACATGTAGAAATGTAGGCCCCTTAATACTTTATTTTTTAAATAGAATTTGATTCTAGTTTTTAGAGAATATATAATATTTAACATGGAGATTATTAATCTGTAAAATAAATAAATTTTAAAAAATTATAAAATTATATTTTTTGGAAAAAATATTTGAATCATTGATTTTATTTTTTCTTTAAAGAACTATTATTTATGGGACCTAGCTTTGGTGGATGGTGTAGATCTCCAAGTTTGCATAGTAACAAGTACGGGCTTAGACGCACCAAACAATTTATATATATATATATATATATATATATATATATAACCATTGTGCTCATGCTAATTGTTTCTCTTAGTTTCCACTCACTCAGTCTCTCTTTTATTTTTTTTTTTTTTTTAATTTATATATATATATATATCCATTGGGTTTGGCTCATGCATATGGATCATGGGGATTCCTCATTGCATAATGACATAATGTGAACTGTGGCACAATCTATGGGCCTGTTCCTACATATTTTTGGCAATTAACAATTTCCTAGCGTTGATTAGTAACATGCAAATTATGATAATGCCTTCCAATCATGTCTCCTCCACATTCCACAGAATAATGTCTGATACCATGCTTTCTTAAAACATAACAATAATAAGGGTTGCTCAAAACCCTAGAAAGTGTTGGGTCCCACCACCTCATGTCTTGGTATATTCTCTCACTAAACATGTGCCCTATAATTGCGGGCTTGGTACAAGATTACACAATGATGGTGAGTAGAAAAATTTAGTAAAACTTGATGCCAAAAAATATATATTACTTCATGAGCATTTTGTATTTTTTTTTTTTTTTGGGTAATTCAAGGCTTCTACCTTTTTTTTTTTATATAAATTAGGGAGTTATTTTTCTTTTTTAGTATTTTATATTTACTTCCTTTGGTAAAATTTTCTTTGCATTTATTTTTTCTACATAACTTGGGGTGACCTTATCGGCACCACGACCAACATGAAAAAGAAAGAAACAAATGAGTAAATGTAGAATAAAATAATTTTATCTTTAATACAGGAAGGTAACAATTGTATATATTCTTTAAAGTGAAACTGGATGGTTGAAGGTATGCTATTACTCGGGTTCAAAGTGCAAAAATGGTATTTTAAACTCTATGATGAAGTTTTTATTTTTCAGATTTTACATCTAATGACCAGGGGTGATTGTAACATTCATGTACCGTAAGGTGATGGTCATATAGTTTACGATACTAGAAAAAAGTTCATATGCTCTCTACAAAAAATAATCATATTAAGAGTAGTGAGAGACCATTTTCAGAAAGATAGATCGAAGTACTTAAATAAACTCAAAATCTCTTTTTCTTTTACCCCGATAATTCTAAAGTGGACCCAGATACATTTAAAAAAAATTCCAACAAATTGAAATTAAGTGTACAATGTGCTCCTGTAGAAGTCCGTAGTACCGGCTATTGAATAGTTTAATGCAAAATGGGGCAACAATTCTGAATTCTACCTTGCATGAAGGTGTTTGGTTATCAAACGTTCGTCCAAGATTCTTATAGAATTTTGGACAAAATAAAACCAAAAAAAATAATAAAAGAAAGAAAAAACAACCCTAAACTTCTTTGGTCCTATGTAGACCGTGATATTGTTGCCTAGGCCTTCTACTGAAGAAATCATAACAAATTCTCCCCATAACTCATTTCAACCCTAGAAATTGTCCTCTAATAAATGTCGACCCTAGAAACTTCATCTCTACTGTCAACCTTTATGTCTCTTGACTCTCTTCCATATGACACAACTACTACGTAATCAAAGCCCCTTCCACACTGTATCAAAACCTGTACATTTCCTTAATTTCAAGAAGTTGGATGAAAAAATCATGAAAAATAAAGGTTTCACAAGTCATGTGCTTATGTCAAACACTTATTAAAAATTATTATTCTCCGGGTCCAGTTTCGATGAGTCTGCTAACTCATATATTTATATGAATCATCCCTCTGAAATTCATCTTAGTTGCGGATTTCATGTTTAAGATTTTAGCTGTTGAGAATCTCAAACATGATGAAAATGAATCTAAATAAATACATTTTTTTATATGCTTTTACCACCGTCCATTTGAGGTTCTGGTGCGGTGTTTGATGAAAATAATTTTCACATCTACCTTCGAGATGGATGATTTGACTCAGCCGAGTCGTAACAGACCTTGGGTGAATTTGTAAAAATTAGCCAATAGATATCAAAATAAGACAAGACTTGGATGAGTTCCTACTCTAGAATCGGCAAGTCACATGCTAAATTGAACAGATCGAGTCCTAAATAAGCTACTCATTTTTGGAAACCGTCCATCCCGACCTACCATTTGCCTAACAATATTTTTCTCATGAATATCAAAATTAACTATTTGGAGTTTTGCCCTTCTTCGGTCATAATGTTGGATACTACCATGGATACTGCTGGTAGGATATCATGGAAATCTCCAAATCTCACAATGCTTGAGCCATTTTTGCCTCACTATCAACACAGAAATCCCTGCTTCAGATTTCATGGTTGGAGGTACATAGCTTTGTTTGCTACACTCCAAGTTCAAATCCCGAAAGAGAACAAACCAAAAAGAACAAATAAATAAAAGAAAAGAGAATAAGTTCATGGGCATGCAATCAATAAAGGAAAAGTATACAATAATCCATAAAGAAAAAGTATACAATAAAACTATTTACCATTGATACCCACGGGTCAAAAATCAAGCAGCTGCAGTTGTTTCATTAACCAAGCTCAAAGCTCAACAATAAATTTTCAAACCTGGTGATGCACACAAGCTGTCACTGTTTGCGTGCGGTATCCGTGAATCCAACCTCCTCTGCTCCTCATGCCAAAGATAAAGGATCTTAGTAATTATTTCATAATCCATCCAACTTGGTCTTCAAACATAATCTTGTAATAATAACCTTGGCAATCACAAATCGATGTTTTATGGTAGGATTTTTTGTAGGATCCAGTGCCCAATCCAAAATCCAAAGCAAGTTACATTTTAGTGAACTACATCTGGTTTTGGTTCATCAAAAAGTGCAGAGCTTCAACCCAACACTTGCTCTGAGCCCAACCCACACCCACACCACCATTAAAGCAAGATTAAATGGGCCATTGTGGAGCTATATGCAGAGTGATCGCAGGCCTTGAGCCCAAGGTCCATGATATTTAGTCATTCATTGTGGTCATCAGGACCCTGAATGCGAACCTTGAGCCCAAGTAAAAGGTGAACCACTAAGTGCATGCAATTTTTGGGGTCAACACTTTCTTATGCTACATCCTAAATCGGCCCAGACCTGAAAGCCTATGGGCTACCCCGGGCTCATTGGCAGCTTACTTTAAAGTACGTTTTTGCCTGAGCGCCTTCAAAAATATTGTGAATTTAGTAGATTTATAAACACTAAAAAATGGATGATCCAGATAGTATTATAAACATACACTATTTTTAAGACTTGAAATTTTTTTTATTCTATTCCTTTATTTTGGGGTAGAAATGATCAATTAGAAGGTTTTTTAACATCAAAATAGCCTTTTGTGTCATAGTTATGTAGTATAAGGTTGATGCCCCATATGACCTTTTTCTTGAATTAAGACCGGACATACCACCTCTCCTTTCCAAATGATAAAAGTAGTCATTTTTGAGTCTGAATCGTACCAACTGGTTCAATCGGTAGATTGTATTGGTGTATCTGCCAGTCTAGTCGAGAGTTACATCTGGGTAATAGAAATCGATCTAAAATAGAAATTAATAAGGTTGTTAGCTAACCAACTAGACCGGGCTGAACAATCTTATTAAATACATATTATATTTTGATTCATTATCCTTTTTTTTTTCTGTTTTTTTACTTTTAAAATTTCAATTCAACCAGGCTTGCAGTCGAACCCTAGTCCACACTCGTTACTAGTTTTGCAGCAGGTCCATTTGGACTAGGGCTGTTGGTGGACTTGGCTTCTGGGCTTTCCAGACGAACATATGCGCTAGGTTCGGGTTGCATGGGAGTAGTGCAAGGTCGGGCCCAGTATATGACCAGAAAATTTTTTAAGCATATATTAAACATCTTTAAATACTTTTTATCATAAATTCGGGTTGGAACAGTCGAGGCCCTAACCCAATTAGTACGCTTAGGCTGCGGTCGTCCCTACAGTCTTTGAGGCCGGTCGGGCCAACGTGGACAGCCCGACTCTATTTCAGGCCATGACAAATACTGGCATATGCCTTTTTTCTTTTAAAATATATGGACGAAACCGTCATTAATACAGAGAAAGGGCATTCTTTAGACATTTCTCTGTATACGCTATCCACTCTTCCGGGTTTAGGGTTTTGCAGTGAGTACTATCCATGGCTCGCTGTAATTTATTGTTGTAATGGAATTAGGGTTTTGAAAGGGTTTCAAGGGATAAGCACCAATATTTCAGTCCAATAGTCGTTTTCTCTCGGTAATTCGTATGGAATTGTATTCCAATGGCTCTGTTAACTGTTTTAAACGAGGTCTTTTTGGTGGCTTAAGTCATTCATTTGCTGGAATTCTCATGAATTCCTCTGTAACCAATGAATTAGGGTTCCGATGGCTACTTAATCGACACATTCCATAATTTTAGCTGCTAGATTGTTCTGAATAGTGGAGAAATGGATGTATCAGTGGTGAACGGGAGCATTCATTTGAAGAACTGGTTTATCAATTCGAAATTTGGAACGGATTGTTCTTATGTTTTTCCTTCTGTGAAGGTTCTTAATTTATCTATTTTTATGGAAATGGAAACGGCCCGTCGATTTAGGAGTCTCAAAAGCCATAAAACTAGAAGTTTTAGGATATTTTCCATGAAAGAGGCGCAGGATCAGAGATTAACTGGTGGTGTTTTAACAAATGATTTACAATTCGAGCCTGCATTTGGGGAGTATTTGAAGGCCATGGAGTCCGCCAAAACAAAGAGGGATAAGAATTTATCTCGTGAAAGGGAGAGGCACAGTTTTAAAAATCGTGAAAGTGAGGGAAATCTAGATGTCCTTGAGAGTGATGTTGATGAAAATCGTTGCAGTAGAAAGGGAATCAGTGGAAATTCTGCTAAAGAAAGAACTACGTATGATAAGTCTAGTTCTGGTTTTGAGATTCAAACTGAATACAGCAGAGATAGAAGTGTAAGCAATGTTTTGAAAGATGGCAATGTTAGAGATAAATGGAGAAGAGATATGGGACAAAATGGAAGTTTAGAAGTTGCAAAAGACAGAAGCATTAGAGAGGTAACAAGCAGAGAATTGAGGCAAAAAGAGAATTTAAATGCTAGGATTGAAATGGGTTCTAGCAAGATTACCAGAGGAAATTGGAGGCACAGAGAAAATTTGGAGAAAAATTTGAAACCCACCATTTCAAATTGGGAAGAATGCCATGTTAATCATCTCAGCACGAAAACAAGTGAACAAGAGGTTAAGAAGGGTGTATACATAAGGAGGCAAGTGGATGGTAACTTACAGGAACCTTCACGAATAGATCGCAACATTCCTGCACGGATAGAACAAAACATTCATGAAAAACTAATTGAGAAATATGAGACACCACGTGGGAAACCTTATGATGGGATAAGTGTATATGGCACTGATACTGAAAGACATGGTTCCATAATTCAAAGAATTGTTAGACATAGCAACCAGTCACTTAATAGGGACGAGCATCGCAGGCCAGAAAAAAAATATGGTGGGAAAAGTGAGGTTTTGAAAAATAAAGAAACTCGAATGTCAAGGAGGTTTACCACGAATGGTGCTTTAGGCAATGATTTGGAGATGGAAAGGCAAGCATTCAAGTCTTTTGAGGTTTTCACGGATGTCAACAATAGGCCAAGAGTATTGAGAATGGAAATGGAGGAAAGGATTCAAAAGCTTGTTAAGTGGTATGTATGTGTATAGTTCTAATACAGTCAACATGTTTTTTAGCTTCTAACGTCAGAAAAGTTGATGTTGCCATTTTTTTTTTTGGTAAATGAATGTTGTGAAAACTTCACTTAACTAGCCGTTGAAGGTATCAATTTTATGCACATTGCAATTTTCCTCATTCCTTTTGTTGCACCCCAAATTTTTATCTTTTTTTTTTTGTATTTTGAATGGTTCAACTTCATATGAGCACTTGTTCTACATGTATGACTTTATTAAACTATAAAGCAAAATTAGTACGCCACTCATTGTTGCTCAATGGATACCATACGTTCATCTGAACTTATCCATTTTATACATCCCTAATATATCAACTTTTCTTCTCTGGCTTGAAATTGTATAGTGATTAGAATTATTGGCCTTTTGATACTAAACTTGGCTATGATGTACAGATACTTCAATACCGGTGCCTATAAGTGTCGGATAATATAAAAGCATTTTTGTACAATGGCAAAAATGATGGTCATCTGGGTCTCGGCCGTGTTTTGGCATCATAAGACTTGGTACAGAATGGTGTATTAATCAGCATAGGAACTCTATTTTGGCATTGTTTCAGAAATGCTGCAAGTGAAAATGAAGAAAACCTAATATTAATCTCTCACCCTCCCTCCTTGACACTCACCCTTATTCTCCTCCTTCTTTACTCTCTTTTCTGCTACATCGTACAAGTGCCCATGAGTTATTTCTGAATTCGTATCATCTATTGTACAATGAAGCTAGGTTTTAGTATCCCAGTTGGTTTGTGAAATCCTGCAATTTTTGAATTTATGTAGCTATTTTGAAAGAGAACTGGTGCATGATGTTGGATTTTACAGTTTTAATCCAATGGTAATAACTCATTCCGTACCATTGATTCATTGAATTAACTACGAATTTATGTTGTGTTCTGGAGTACTATACCACAGTGGTTCTCTCATAAAAAGAAAAAGAAAAAAGAATAAAGCACCAATGCTCGTTTGGTCAACTTGCAACCATTTATTTTTTGTTTGTGCCAATTGCTTCTTTGGCAGATTCCATATTTGTCTGCCATGTCGAACTTAGTTTTTCCTTTTGTTATTGAAGCAATCTTCTATTAGCATTTTCTTTCTGAATTGTATTGTCTATGTTTAAAATTATACTCATATTAATGGGTTTTACATTAGAAAGATTAACTTTTTGGTATTTACTTGTTAAAGGTTGAATGGTACAGATGTCAATTTGCCAGAATGGCAGTTCTCCAAGATGATGCACAGTGCAGGAATCAAGTTTACAGATCATTCAATTCTGAGGGTTATCCGGATATTGGGGGATCTTGGAAACTGGAGACGTACGTTACAAGTCATTCAGTGGCTTGAATCTCATGAGCGTTTCAAGTCCTACAAGAGCAGGTAAAATTGTTTCCACCTTGGATTAGTCGAATATTATTATATTCTGACATTTGTGATATTAAAAATTAAGCTTGTGGTCTGGCCATCCAGTGTAATTTCTTTTGAGGTTCAATAAGTAATTGGTACAAATCCTTGTGACTCTTGATTCTTCCAAGCTAAGCGGCAACTTTATTCTACAGTATCACTCCCTCCCTGAAGACATGAGCAGCCTTCAATTTGGCTAAGGAATACATCTGTTCTACTCAGTTGTTTTACTCCTTAGTATTTTTTATTTAGCTGCCCCATTATCTCATTAGATGAAATTCATTGATGATTAGGTTAAGAGTGCCAAATGGACTGATGTTCGAATCTTCCTTCTGTGTTTTTGCGTCTCTCTCTTAGATACACACACACACACACACACACACAAAAAAAAAAAAAAAAACAAACCCGCACTATCAGAGAAAATGGAAAAGGAAGAAAGAAGACCCAATTTCTCAATGAATGGTCCATCCATACAAACAGAAACTTGGAGTCATCTGTGCTGGTATGTATGTGGCTGACTAGTAAGAAGTGATATCCTTTGCCTAAATCTGAACATTTTGTTGCAGATATATCTACACAACTGCCCTTGATGTGCTTGGGAAGGCAAGGAGGCCTGTTGAGGCACTGAATGTTTTCCATGCTATGCGTGTAATATTCATCCTGTAACTGTAACATGAATTTTTATTATATTTTAACGTTTTTAGTCCTATTCTCTTTCACAAGCATTGTACGTAACTTGTTTTTGAATTTTTCAGGAACAAGTATCATCATACCCAGACATGCCTGCATACCATTGTATTGCTGTAATTCTTGGACAAGCTGGTTACATGAAAGAACTATTTGATGTTATTGATTGCATGAGAGCTGGTCCGCAGAAGAAGATGAAAAGTAGCATATTGGATAAGTGGGATCCCCGTCTGGAACCAGACCTTGTCATCTATAATGCTGTTAGTGATTGCACCATTAATGCTTTATGAAGGGATGCTCAGTCCTTGTAAGGAAAATATGAGGATGACAACACTTGGAACACCTTCATGGGTCGTCCAGATGGTCCAGAAACTGATATCTTGGCAGTACTTTGACTTGCAACTTTTTGAAATAACGACTTTCCCATGTTCCAGCATTTAAAATACTGAACAAGTGAGGCCATTTTGTATACATGTTGAGTGAATTTTAAAACTAAACCATCCTTGTCTGGCATTTTAAAGTTAAACTATACCAAGGTTAACCTCCCAGTAGAAACAAATTGACCAATGCAGGTACTGTCATGATATTTTAATTTTCTAGACCGCCTGCCTGTTCTATGCAGGTGTTCTAGGCACTTTTCTGATACTTTCCCTTCATGTTAGTAGTTTGGGATCCCTTGTTATCAATATATCAAAGAAGGGAAGTGTATAGTGCTGTGGTTCGGCAGTCATGTCTCCCTTTGAGTCCATAATGTGATGAATAGTTTCTGGTTTCTGTAGGTTTTGAATGCTTGTGTTCAACAGAAACAATGGGAAGGTGCATTCTGGGTATTGCAACAACTAAAACAACGCAACATACAGCCCTCCAGCACAACGTGTGGTCTAGTTATGGAGGTAATATCCTGTTGCTCTGTGATATAGGGACTCTCTCATTTTTATCTATTGATTTGTTTCTTATTAGGCTGGATATCCCTATAAAACTAATGCCCTGGTTGTTGGTTCATTTCTCACTATACTATTTCATTAAAGGACACGGGTTCATATTTCACTCTTTGTTGCCATTCATTTGAGTGCTGCTGTCGGTGCCAATGCTCACATGTATAATCCAAAGCCTGGAACCAAAACTAGATTGAGTTCATAACTCAGGGCCCAGCACATTTATGCATAAAGTTTTGGAACTTATTTGAGTTTGTCTAATGTAAAAATGGACTTCTTTGACTGTGTTTGCTTAGTTCATCTAACTAGTGACATCTGTTGAACATTTGTTATGAGAAAAGACATACCAAATGGTAGCAATCCTTTTTTGTAACTTCCCCCTCCAAACTGGAAGTGCTTGTTGGGCTTCAGAGCATTGAATGTTGAGGAATTTCACTCCTTTGTTTTTCATCTACTGATACCATTTGATTTCAATTTCTGTTTGTTCTTTCTGATAAGATACTCTAATTTGATGCTGTTCTCCTTTTCTCATCATCATCAAAACCTTTTAATTTTTTAAAAAGAGAGAAAAGTTTTAACCTTTTTATTTGGTCGAATTTCTGGGATGGTTTCTTTTCTTTATAAAACTCTTTTAGTCTTTTGTGGGGTTTAGATATTCAAACATAAGCTCACAATTTATGTTTGCTCAACTTTCAGGTAATGCTTGCATGTGAGAAATACAGCTTGGTATATGAATTCTTCAAGAAAGTGGAAAAATCCTCTGTTCCAAATACTTTGACATACAAAGGTACCCAAAGAATATTTTTTTGTTGATGATTTTCAGTTATTTTCACGCATTATATGCTACCCATTTCATGTTATTCCTTACAGTTCTAGTAAATGCTCTCTGGAAAGAAGGTAAAACAGAAGAGGCTGTATTAGCAGTGCAGGACATGGAGAGGCGAGGTATTGTTGGCTCTGCTAGTCTTTACTATGACCTAGCTCGTTGTCTCTGCAGTGCTGGAAGGTGCCAAGAGGCATTATTGCAGGTCTGTATTATAGAACAATATTCTCCTCTGTAAGCATCTGGTCTTTCATATTGTTTTTTTGTGTTGAAAGTTAAAGTATTAGTTGGTTCTTTAATCATGTACTGCTAAGGTGATTGTCTCGTGAGGATATTTTGGGAGTTGGAAGTGGTATGGTTTTAGTCAAACATCTGTTCAAGTTGGACAATTAACCTGGATGACTTGGTGGTTACTAGATAGGTTGCTGGTTCAAGCAAGTTAATATTCTGTTTTACTTTTTTACCTTTAAACTATAGTGCATGTCAACTTAACAGAAGAAATACGAGTAACATGAGAAATCTTTGTCAAAACACCAAGCTTAATACTCACAGCCACTTTCTTAGGTTTGAGATCAACTCATCTCCTCTCCTTAATCAGTCTGCTTGGCCTTGAGTGGTTGGGTTACATATGGCTATGAACCTAATAGTAATCAACTAAAACTAATAGCAATTAGCAGCCTAAAATCTTACTGAAATTTTTTTTGCTTGACATTGTGGCTGTTTTGGACCTCTCATGGCATCAACTATATTTCCAGTTTCCAATGGAATCAAAGCTTAGAAATGGGGTTTCTTTCCTAAGTAAAAGATTGAACACTGAGTATTATGTTTGGCTACGGTTTGGCAGTTGGTGTTTTATTGTTCTCTCTGTGCCATGTTCCCTGTTGTGAGAATGAGGGTGTAGATGGCTTGGCAGAGGAACGAGAAGGATATATTTGTTTGTCGGTTACATCTTTCCATAATTTGTAGATTTCTGGAGATGCCTATTCTCATCTACGCTAATGTTTTTGACTTTTGTTAATTTTATTTAGTTGGTTAATGACTGCAACTTTACAACTATAAAATCATCATCTTTCATGGAAAAGGACAGTTTGACAAGGAGGGTAAAGCGGCAGTAGTATGGTACCATATTTCTTGTTTATAACTAGAAATTTTCTTCTTTCATAGAGTACCTGTATATGCTTTTAATAAGGCTTGTTCACTTAATATTATTTCGTACCATAAGTATAACACATGGTACTTCATCAAGCTATGGTAGTTTATGAATTGATTTGATGTTAGGGACTAAATTTTTTCTTATGGGTGCACTTGTTTTGCAGGTTGAGAAAATATGCAAGGTTGCAAATAAGCCTCTAGTTATGACTTTCACAGGATTGATGCAAACTTGTCTCGAAGTGGGAAATGTTAAAGATGGCGAATACATCTTTCGCCATATGCAGAAGTATTGCTCCCCAAACATTGTAACATGCAACATAGTGCTCAAGTCCTATGCCCAAAATGGGTTTTTCAAAGAAGCAAAGGATTTGTTTCAAGCGATTTTGGATGGTGGTGCCAAATTTAGGGGAGAAACGGATAGGGAAAGGCTACTTCCTGATAAATGCACATTTAATACCATGCTAGAGGCTTGTTCTGCTTCAAAGCAGTGGGATGACATCGAGAGTGTTTACATGCGAATGGTTCATCATGGTTATCAGTTTGATTTGAAGTATCACCTTCGACTGGTTTTAGAAGCATCCAGGGCTGGAAAGGTACTTAACAATTGATTTCCCTCCTCTATTAGCATGCTTTCCTGTGATAGCCGGTGATACCTTTTTGACACTGGCTATGAGGATTTCCTCTCTCTCTCTCTCTCTCTCACTCACACACACACACACATGCATGCATGCGTGCCCACTGGCAAGGAAGATTTCATCTCATATTCCCTGTCTTTCTTTCTCTAACCAAATCCATTGATTCACGTTTCAGGGGCGGTTATTGTGTACTGCCTGTGATCACTTGGTTCAGTCAGGTAGAAAGCCTCCTGTTCCAATCTTTAAGGAAAGGTTTTGCAATGCTTTACATTCTGAAGACTATGGAGAGGCAATCAGTTGTGCCCAAAGCTTGGCGGCTATTCGCATTATTTCAAAGAAGGCATGGTTGGATTTGTTCTATGAGAATTCAGATCGTTTCAGTAGAGGCTCGATAGTTGGGTTGCTAGATAAGGTGAAGAACACTGTTAAAGATGAAGATAATCCATGCCTGACATTACAAAATTTAGCAGATTCGTGTCGGGAGTTTGTAAATGCCAAGAGCATCACAGATTCTGGGCAGGGCTCAGCAGAGTCATGTGGTGTGGAGGAAAAAAGTCTATAGATGTGAATCTCTCTCTCCCCCCCCCCCCCTCCCCCCTCTCTCTCTCTCACACACAACAAAATATTTGCATGGATTCTTGGGTGGAAGTCTCAAACTAGCTGCATAGCCGAGTTTTCTATTGGATGCAATGAGTGCATGGATCTCTCTCTCTCTCTCTCTCTATTCATGGTTGCTGCTGTAAATTATGCCTTATATTGTAATTGGACTAGCTTCGAATGGACTCTGTGTGTTGCTGACAGCAGCGTATTTCATCCGTAGTTGAGAATGGTAAGGAGTTGGATTATCTTAAGCTCTGATTATAAAAGTTTTAGGAGATCGAGTATTTACTTTTTACAAGTATGAAAATTTGGATTTTCTTTCGTGCATATCCAATCAACTTGAAAGTGTGGCATCACTCATCTCAATGAGGTGCACCAGGAAAAACAAAAAACAAAAAACAAAGAGAAAGAAAAAACTAGTTTGAATAACATAACTGACCAAAATGTCCCCAAAATATTTAGGGCACTTCGGTCATTTCTTCTATTGACGGTTTCAAACTAATTTTTTTATTTTAGTGCATTTTGGTCATTTCTTAAATTCAAACTAATTTTTTGTATCTTTTAGGTGCACCTGAGCTAGTTACACACCCACAAATTTTCATGTGAAACAAGTTCATAGAAAAATTGAAAATTTTCATGTGAAACAAGTTTATAGAAAACTTGAAATTAGGACTAACGAAATTCTTGTTGCCAATTTTTTCCCTTCTAACCTAAAACCAGTTTCAATTTTTTATTATATTGTTACAAAACCTCGTGCATGGGGGATAGCATGTGTACAACGGTCCACTTAGAAGGGGAAAGCACTTGGGTAGATCTCCATGATGGCTCTAAAAACAATTTTCAATTCAATACAATAAAATTTGAAGCTTAATAAATAGTATAGATAACGATCAGTAAATACTTGTTTTTGAAATAAAACTGGCGGATCATAAAATTTGAATCTCAATAAATGGTATAGATAGCGATCGGTAAATACTTGTTTTTTAAATGAAATTGGCAATCTAGATAATGTGTTGCAATCATAGTTAGCAAGTTGGGAAGTGGTCATATATCGGCTCACTATAAAATCGGATATTAATTATGGATAAAAAAATCAGATAAAAAAAACGGATAAAGTCGGATAAAAAATACGGATGGACAAAAATACTTTATGTAAAGATATCACAAATATATCACTAGGCTCAAAAAATCGGAATGAAAAAAACGGATAGGTTAACTATTCTAACTTTGAACCATACTAACTATTTAGTCATGTTAATTTAAATTCCAAATTCAAAGCTTGTGCCATATTAACCATTTAGTCATGTAATTCAAAGCATGTGCGTATGCACCATACTAACTATTTGGTCATGTTGATGAATTCCAAATCCAAAGGTTGTGCATATTTCTCTGAAGTATTTACTCACGACACGTGTCCTACGTACCCAAAAAGCTAAGTATCATTTTCTATACGTGCCCCGACAACTATAGTTTTTAATAGAAAAAAATGGAGCGGGGAAAGAGAAGAGAGAAGTGGTTGCAGAAAAATAAACAGAGAGGGAAATGAACGCAGAGAAAAAGAGAAGGGGGTGACATCGGATCTCTCAGAGATGAGCACTGAAGAGCAGGCACGTGCAGAGGTTTTTCAGATGATGTTGTCTTTTGAAGCAGAAGATGGTGAACTTGTTTGTAAAGAAAATCAGATGGGTGCGCTGCGTAGAACTCCGATGGTGCTCTCTTTTTTAAACTTAAGGATTTTTTAATCATGTTTAGGGAAAAGCCCTAATTTATTTTGCCTTAATGCAATATTCTTTGAGCTACGTTAAATTTGGGGATTTTTTAGCTATGTTAAATTTCAGGATTTTTTATAGTTAACGTTTAATAAGTCAGCAGTCACATGCAATGAGCCCGTTTTAGGATAAAAAAAAAAAAAAGGAAAAAAAGGAAAGAAATAAAAGCAAGAAAAAGGTAAATGAACTTTTTTTTAAGGTGTAAAAAATGAACTTTTATAAAATAGGAAAGAGGTAAAATAAACTTTCCAAAAAAAGAAAAAATCATATTCTATTAATAGTAAAGTTTTTTTGGAACGATTTATTGTAAATATAAAAAAATCACGTTTTAAACTTCTTCATGAAAAAAACGATTTTTTTACGCTCTTTTTAATAATACACAGATTAAAACGGTTTAAAAAAAAACTCCGATTTTTTGAAAAAAATCATGTTTAATACGGCGATTTGCTAACTATGGTTACAATACACACTATCTTCGAATCTTAGTTTTTTTTCACAACCATAATGGTCAAGCCCAAGTGATTGATTTAAAGTTTTTCCTGTGCTAGAACTACAATTTTCAACAAGTGTTGAGGTGAGGTTTTTTGATAGAGCTGCAGCACTATCAAACCATTTTCTAAAAAAAAAGAAACGCAGTTTCTATAAGGCCTTGGATGTACGAAAACAAAGTGTCAACTTAAATCCTTGTTCGGAAAGCACTATGGGCATCAGAAATCTTCATGGTGGCTCTAAAATCAATTTCCAACACTAGCTACGAAATTTGAAGCGCAATGGTACATATTGCGAATCCATAAACACTTATTTTTATGGTGAAATGGATGGCTTAGATAGTGTGTTATTAGAAACACTATTTTTAAGGCTTGAAATCCGTATTTTTTTTCATAACCATAATGGTCAAAGCCGAGATAATTGATTTAAACTTCCTATGCATAATTGAAATTTTCTGCTGGTTTTGAGGTGATATTTTAGGTAGTGTGATAGAGTTGCAACCCTATCAAACCATTTCCAAAAAAAAGATGATGTTTTTATTAGAGCCTCACCTTAAATTTTTGTCTGGAAAGCACTTTGGACATCAAAAATCTTCATGATGGCTCTAAATTCAATTTCTAATCCCGACCGTGAAATTTGAAGCTCAATGCATAGTACAAATTATGGATGAGTAAACACTTGTTTTTAAGGTGAAATGGATAGTTTAGTTTTTTTTTAACAATATACACTATGTTTAGGGCTTGGAATCTTTACTTTTTTTTTTTTACAAACATAATAGTCAAAACCGAGATAATTGATTTAAAGTTCTTTCCTACGCCAAAACGAGTTTTGAGGTGGAGTTTTACTTATATTGATAGGGATACAGGCCATTTCCATAAAATGATCGAGCTTTTGTAGAGGTCTAGGATTTATGAAAGGAAAATTGTTTGGTGCGCCCAAGCCTGCACTTGTTACCTTGGAGATTTACACCGTCCACCAAAATCGGGTCCCATAAATAATAGTCTTCCGAAGAAAAAGTAAAATAAACAGTTGAAATATTTTCTCCAAAACAATATCATTTCTAGTTTTAAAATTTTATTTGTTTTTACAGATTAGTAATCTCCATGTTAAATATCATTTAAATATTTCCTACAAATTAGGATCAAATTCTAAATAAAAAATAAATTAATAAGGGGTATGTATTTCTATGCGTGAGTATGTGGACTCATAGAAACCGTGTTATGAAAACAAAGTAAAGTCTCACCTTGAATCCTCGTCCGAAAAAGCACTTTGGGCAACATAAATCTCCATGATAGCTCTAAAGTCAATTTCCAACACCGACAGTGAAAATTGAAGCACAATAAATGGTATAGATTGCAAATCCATAAACACATATTTTTAGGGTGAAATGGACGGCTTAGATAATGTGTTACAATATATATTATTTTTACAGCTTTGAATCCTAATTTTTTTCACAACCATGAAAGGTCAAGGCCGATATAATTGATTTAAAGGTTTTCCTATGCTAGAAGTGCACTTTTCAATGAGTTTTAACGTAAGGTTTTACTTATTTGCAGCCCTATCAAACCTTATTTTCAAAAAAAAAAAAGGAGTAGTTTCTATAAGGCCTAGGATGTATGAAAACAAAGTCTCGCCTTGAATCCTCATCTAGAAAGCATTTTTGGGCATCAGAAATCTCCATGATAGTTCTAAAATCAATTTCAAATACCAACTGTGAAATTTGAAGCTCAATAAATGGTATAGATTGCATATCCATAAACATTTATTTTTAGGGTGAAATGAATGGTCTAGATAATGAGTTATAATATACACTATTTTTAAGGCTTGGATCCGATTTTTTTTTTTTCACAACCATAATTGTCAAACCCAATATAATTGATTTAAAGGTTTTACTGCCACATAATTGGAATTTTTAATTTTTTAGCGAGTTTTGAGGTGAGGTATTACTTATTTTGATAGAGCTGCAACCTTATCAAACCATTTCCAAAAGGCTCACATGCAACTATTGCCTTTTAATTTGAGCCCTTTGGAGTATGTTATTGTATTGTGAGCTGACATTTCAAATCATTTTCTATATTCATGGATTTGGTTTGTATAATGTGGTAATCTTCTAAATGTATTCGGGCCAACTGATTTATGGGCCCATGGCTTTGGGTGATTTTAACCTCTTTGTACTAATAGTAAATAAACTTTGTTACGTAGTCAATCGGTGCACGGGCCGGTTCTTCCAACTTGGTCAGGTGGTTCAACTGAAATGAGCTGGTTGCCAAAACTGGAAATGACAAGGGAAAAAAGTAATTATAGAAAAAAATCGAAGCTAATAAGATTGCGACAAAAGAGCAAGTTTTTTGTGCTGGCTCATGTTTAATTTGACAAACAGAAAAGGTTCACCAATTATGTAATTTCTTTTTAACTTTAAAGCAGTTGACATCCCAACATGGCTTGTCACTATTCATGTTAAAAGTTGTCATCAGTAATCTCGATACCAGATACAATTGAATTGCCATTGAGATAATAATTACAATAATGATAATCTTTACCCTCAGCTTCGAAAATTTTTGTGCCGCTCAAGATAATAATTTTAAAAAATTGCCCTTGAAAATAAAAAGAGCTATTTATTGGAAATGCCAATTAAGGTGTATAAAAAGGGCCCTAGAAAATGCGATTAAATTGAGGCATGCCCGAATTCATGGGCCATGGAGAAGCTAATTTTGGCAAGAGGAATAGGATGAATCTGCTTTTCTTTGGCCAACACATTCAAAGTATGGATTAGGTCGATTTTAATTTAGGGACATCATTGTAACTAAATTTGTCAAAATTAGGGTTTTGCTAGTGGGAGGTTATGTTTGGTAAAGGTCTTTTAAGCATATTCTAGATGCCCGGTTTTTCAGTCATTGCCCTTTAAACTTTGAAATTATTTTTAGAGAGAGAGAGAGAGAGGGGGAGAGAGAGAGTTTTGTAACTGATACTTTCAACTGAGATTATTTTTTTGGGTAATTGAGGTATGAGAGACTAATTTATATGAAACTTGGAAGATAATAAAATGAGAGAGAGGGGGGAGTTTCAGAGACAGAGAGAGAGAGTGTTTTTGTGACTTATACTTGGAATTGAGATTTATTTTTTGGGTAATTGAGGTTTGAGATATTGATTTATATGTAAGATAATAATAAAATGAGAGAGAGAGCTTGTAATTGATCCTTGAAATTGAGATTTATTTTTCTGAGAAATTGAGGTTCAAGGCATTTTGATTTATATATAAAAGACAATAAAATGAGAGAGATTATGTAATAGAAAATGGTTTGAAAGGCCTATAGCTATATCAAAATAAGTAAAGCTTCACCTCATAACTCATCCAAAATTTCAAATTCAAGCATTGAAAAACCTTTGAATATTGTGATTGTAAAAAAAAGGAAAAGGTATTTCAAACTCAAAAAACAATATATATTACAACAAATTATCTAGACAGTTCATTTCACCATAAAATAAGTATTTAAAGATATACAAGATTTATATATTTTTTGAATTTCAAATTTTATTGTCAGTGTTGGAAATTGATTGTGGAGAGATCATAGAGATTAAAGCACTTTCTGAACAAAGATTCGAAAGGAGGCTTTTTCATAAAACCTAGGCCTTATAAAAACCTCATCATGGGTAATTGAAATTTGGAACTGTATAAAAGTTAATATACATAATTAAATGAGAGAGAGAGTTTTGGGTGATTGAGATTACAGAGAAAATGTTTTTCAAGTTATTGAGATTTGAGAGAGATTGGTTTATAAGAAAATTAGAAGAGATTGAATGGATTAGTGAAGGGGAGAGATTTTTGTTTTATGTTGGGTACCTAGAGAGAGAGATCCATGTTTTTATTTTTATTTTTGTTTTTGTTTTTTTTTGGGTAGATTAGTGGGGAATACCTGTCCCTACCCGTTTTTATTTTTATAAATAATTAATAGTTTTTAATGCATATGAGAAAGAAAACTTAGACCGATAGCTGAAGCTTAAGTGGTGCTACCACGACGTCAATCCCATTTCTAGAGGGATCCATGCAATCCCATTTCTAAAGGGATCCATGCTTGCTCTTTAGAGAGAGACATTTACAATTTTTCTTCCTCTCATATTTTGTTCTCATTTATAAAATTAAATTAAATTTAATTGCTTGCCTTTTTTCACTCCAAAATTTTAGAAAAGGCCAATGTTTTTTTTTTTTTTTTTTTTTTTTTTTGAGACCATGAAAAAGGCCACTAATAATTCCCTTTTTAAAACCCCATGTGGTTCTCTTCCCCTACTGAAAAATTGCCGATGCCTTTCTCTCCTCTTTCTCTCTCTAAGTTATTCTCTCTCTCATGTCTTGATCCATTTCACCCTTTTCTCTCTCTAAATAGATAAGCGAGCACCCCATTAAACCAGCCACTATGTCCTGATAGATAACCCATTCAGCGTTCTCTCTCCTCCCCCATCTCTCTTTCTCTCTCTAATTTTTTGTTCTCTCTCTTCTCTTTTTAAGTTCTGGGCTACTCCCATTGGCAATCTCTTATTTCTTTATCTCTCTCTCTCTGTAAATGAATCTTATGCGATTTAGAATTGGGGCACAATAATTTAATCCCTAGGTGCTGATTTAGGATCGAATGGTGAGAAAACCCCCTTAAATTCAAGCTCTGTGAGCTTGAGGAGGGTTCTGTTGTTTTTGTATCTCTATTGTTTGTATTGGGTTTTCACAGAGACATGGAAAGTTTAGAGAGTGAAGGTGGTTCAGACCACCAAAGGGTTTCGAAAGATTTTGCTCAGGGTTCCTCTGGTAAGTTACTCATTTAGATCTTAGTCTCATCCATGAAAGTAGTCTTCTCTATTCATATGTTCTTAAAACCTCTCTCTATCTCTTGATGAGTATGATTAGTATTCTCCGTCTCTCTATCACTCTCTCGTTCACTGTATTTTTTTCTCTCTGAGATGTATGATTTAATGCTTTCTCTCTAGGTTTGAATGAATTTCATTTCTGGCATATTTATTATCTAGATCTGATTTGCTTTAAAGGTTTAGTGTGTTACTTCATAGAATTTAGCGGGTTTTGTTGAAATTTGTGTGATCTTTTGATCCTTCTATTAATTGTTATCTCTGTTCGCAATATTCCTGCTCGCAAATCCCCGGTTAAATTCATGCTTTATACTGCTTTTTCTCCCTTTCTGGACATTTTTAGGTTAAGAGTATACCATCTATAGGAGGTAGTGATGTTAAACATGGTAACTAAAGTCGGTGAATTATTTTGTTGACAAAGTTCATTATGAGCAAATCCGTTTCTTTGTCGAACCCATTTTTTTCTGTTTCGTTTTGCTCTCTACCCTCCCCCGCTTTCTGAAATTTACAAAGTGGCCTCTTTTCGTTTAGGCATACTTGTTCTATTCACTTTTCCTTTGTATTGAGGGAATTTGATTATCTCCCATGAACTTTTCTGAGTAGAGTTACCCTTATGTAAATTTTTACCCTAAATATAAAGTTAACCTTCTTCAAAAAACTTTTCTGAACTGAAGGGAGCGTTCTTCATTGGCTGCCTTTTATTTTCCTTTAGTGATTGCAGATTTTGATGTTGGTTTAAAGTTTTAGATACTTTACTACTCATGATCGCCTAAGGTTTTCTTCATAAGCCTCAAATGGGTTTTATTTGCAGTAACTTTTACATTGGGGAGCTTTGTATTTTATTTTATTTTTGTGATAAGTAACACGTTTCATTAAAGAGAAAGAGAATGGGCAGCTATAACAGTGTATGTTGTGGGATTATCTATCAAAAGAAAAAAGAAAATCAGTGTATGTTGTAGGGTTACAGAAATTCACCAGGGTGTAATTGTGTGGTAAACTAACTTCCCAAAAAGTTGGGTAACCTAATATGTCCGGAAATTTTCTACTGTCAAAGCTGTGCAGGTGGATGTTGATTTTGGTTTTGGATGAGGATTGACCTGGATGGCTTGAAGGATGTCCTATCTGCTGCGTCCTTTGCTAGGTATCGACGTGACTGTTTGCTTCGCACCATGTATGCTCGGAAGAAACTAGCATATTGGAGCGGATGGTGATTGTTTCTTTAAAAACTTGGTCCAACCGCCAAGGCATTTTGGAGTTTATCTTTCTATTTCTATTAGAAGGAACATGAACAGATTGTTTCATCTTTGGATGGGTAGGCTAGTTTGGAACCTTGGTTAGCTTTGCTGCAGCTTTTGTTCTCTACCCTCCAGATCGAGTGGCTATAGTCCCATTTTGGGGATCATAATTGCTTTGATTTCATGAACTAAATCGAATCTAAGAATCAAATGAGAATAAATAGGGTGTACTCTTTGGGAGCTTGGGCTTGCTTTATTTTTCTTGGAAAGTGGCTTCCACTTTATGAAAGCCTAGGATTGCGGATTTGGATATAGAGAATTGCAATTACTTTACTAAATATGAATCTTAGAATGTCCATATTTGGTATATCATCGTCTTTCTTTCTATCTTAGGCTTTAGTTATCATCATCATAGGAGCATTTTCCCAACTATTTAGGTTTCTGTTATCAACAATGTCAATTCCCCACCTCTTAGTTCAATAGCATAGAAATAACTCATCAGGTCTTGTCCTTTCTATTATAAAACATGTTCTAAGGGCATTGTTTTCCTACTCAGATGGAAAAGATGCTGGCAAACAGTGGTCAGTTGACCGCCATAGCATTCTTAACTCTATCGAAGCATTCTTAACTCTATCGAGTATTTATTGCAAAATTAACCTTTCCAAAGGCAGCTTTATCAACATTTTCTTTGATAATATGGGTAAAATGTTGTTGGAATTTTTTAATGTGCACAGCAATTTGTAGCATTCAGATGAATGCATAGTTTCGCATGCAGTGGTTCTAACTAGGAAAAACTGTGCAGTTTTTAAAAGCTTTTATATGTCAATTACTCTTTGATAATGTCTGTGTCATTTGCCACTGATAATTATTTTGATGAATAATGGTAGATAACTTGAACATATTTATCGATGATCATCATGTAGTGCTTGTGTTATCTGGTTGTGTGCTGTTCATGCTCATTTACGATCCTTTGTTTTATTATATAAATGTGCAGCAAGTACTCGCTTTGATGCTGCGCAGTATGCATTTTTTGGTAAGGATGTCACAGAGGAAGTTGAGTTGGGAGGCTTGGAAGATGATGATCACCTTGCATTGGTTGGGTTTGATGATGAGGAGTATAAAATGTCTTCAATTGGGGATACAGAAGAGGTAATTTAATGAAGAAAATAATCGAGCACAATTGAACCTACCTTTCTTCTCCTTTTTCTACAACACGTAATTTTCATGTTTTACACATTTGACTTTGAGGGATGGTTATTGTAATGCATTTTTTATATTGTGTGCAGAAGGTCTAGTAAAGTGTGAATATATGTAAATTATAAATCTTATCTACATATCAGAATTTCCTTTCTAAATGATAAAGGTTACTCAACCAGCATCTTTCAGGATAAGGTTTACCAAGTGCGAAAATTTTGGACATTTTTTAAACAAATTGCTTTTAAATTTTTTCCCACTGTTTTATTTTTTAATTTTTATTTAGTTTAAACCATCGAATGGACAATATATCTGTACTTTTCAAAATTGTTGTTGCCTCTTCTTAGTTCATCTAGTACTCTTCTACGATTCCACTTCTTTATTTTACACATGAAGGCCTTTCAAAATGCCGTAGCCCTTATCGTTGTAAGTGATTTTCTTTTTTTTTTTTCTCTATATTCTTGGGTGCTCAAGGTACTAGGCATCCTTTTTATAGCATAAAGCGGAGAGAGATACAGTGTAACTTGTGATGTTGTGGTAGCATACCTAATCTTTGGTCTAAGTCTGGCTTCACCAATATCTTCAAAGTATTGTTAGTTGGCAACATGAGGTTTGGTAGCACACAGTTTGTTGCAATGTGAAGATTCTATGTTAAATTTATTTTGGGTGATCATTTGTAAGTACGTTGACTAAACATGCATACAGGCCTGGTATGCATGGTTACATTTACACATAAATACATCCATGCATGTATCCGTACATCCATACATGCTCATGCATAAGCATATGTGAATTCGTGTGTATTTTTCTCTTGTTTATGCAATAGTTTCTTAATTATGCAACTATGTTCCATCCTTTTTTCCTTGTTGAATGGCTTTACATGGAGTTTTTATAAGTATTTTGACCTTTGATTCGTCATGCTACAACTCCAGCTGGATGGATTAGATCTCATAGCTGAAGTTGATGACCTTGCAAGCACCTTTATGAAGGTCCGTATTCTTGAATATTTATGAACGTTAATTCTGAAATGCAAATGTTTTATGATGCCCTTGTGGTTAGGTTTTTGTAGTTTTGAATCATGTCCTAATGGGGGCATTTCTGATAAGAAAATAACTTTCCGTTCAATACTGAAAAAAGAAGGAGTGAATGGCTATCTCTATCATGAAATATTAGTTATTATTCATGCTTTTACTAGTTTACTTTTACAATAAATTTTTTAAGATATGTGTATCTGCCTTTTTTATTTTAATGACTATCTAGTTACTTGTCTAATTTATGTGTCCAACACTTGTTTGAAGCCATGCTTGTAATCTCAATTTTCCTTGGAGTAACTTCTATTAGCCTCTGTACATTTTCAGAAATTTAATTTTTCTATTTTGATTAATAATATTAATAGCATGTTATGAAAGCTTGGTGGGTCAATCCAAATCTCGCCGGCATTGATCCGGAAAGCCAACTCACCTATGGTATCCACCAATTAACTAGGATTTACCAAAATTGGTCTATTTTTTAGCTCCACAAGATATCCTCCTGTTTTCTAATTTATCACTATTCACTTATATTTGGGCTTCTGTTTTCTAATTTATCCCTTTCTGTATTTGAACTTTTTATTAGGATAGGTAATATTCAATGCAAGTCATACTCATATTTATCACATCCTAATTTGTGTGTTTTGATTTACATAACATAATATTTGAACTGACCAATCCAAAAAATGAAAAAAAAGACATAATCTCCCCATTGTTTTGTATTGTTTTAAACTTTTTTAAATATTGTCTAGGATATTTTTTTCCATTTTAAAATCCACACCCCCCACCTCTCTCCCCTTAAAATTCACACACACACACACACACACACACACATTTTGGGTCATTGAAGCTGAGCGGAGTCTGAGTTGCGGAGTAGGTTGAACTGGTGAACTTGACGGCTGAGCCAACTTTGAGTCCCATGTTTTCTAAAATACGGTTAATAGTTCAGTAGGCACGATTTCCTCATAATACAAAGTCCATAGGCATAGGGGCATAGTTTTCGAAGAAGTGTAACAATATAAATTGAAGAAAGATAAGAGAAATGAATGAAAATGAAAAACCAAATATAAGGTTAGACTAGAGTCACCTAAACGGCACAACCCCCCAACCCCACCCCACCCCACCCCACCCCACCCCACCCACCTCAACCCACCCACCTCACCCTGCTCCCACAAAAAAAAAAAAAAAAAACGGAAGGAAAGAAGAAGGAAAAGGAAGAAAAGAACCCACAAAAAAAAAAAAAAAAAGGAAAGAAATGAAGAAGGAAAAAGGAAGAAAAGAAGAAGGAAAAAGGAAGGAGAACTCACATTGAGGTTAGCTCCTTTGAGTGGGGTTTCTCACCTTAGAAAATCCTGGGCATCCTTTCTTTTCATAGACCCCACATGATGGACATGATCGAGGCCATCCAGAGAAGACAACCTATCTTTAGTAGTGGCAGATCTAAACATGGCACTAGGAGTTGTTGGATGGACTTCAGGGTAACCCATTGCCACTCAAAAAGTTGGAGTAGGTTGGACCAAGCTTGTAAGCATCATGTGTTGCAAGAAAAGGTGGTCACTGGTCTCTTTTTCTTGTTAGCACATAACACACCGGTTTGACAATTGAATGCCTTCTAGTTGGTCTCTCGTTAGGACTTCTCTTGAGCCACAGGCTTGTACTTGGTGAGGGTCAGGGAAGCCCACAATTTATTGAAGATGTTCTTGGGGCTTTGGGTGTAAGCTGGAGTAGAAAGAAGCCACTGTGAATATCACTGATGTCATCGCGGCCAGACCAGCCTATTTGTTAGAAGTAGAAGTCTTGAAGGAAGTTAAGGAGGTCAGTCAGATATAAGCTTTCAACTTTAGTTAATGGCCTTCTAAATGTGGGAGACCAAATAATACTTCCCTGGTTTCGGCTATTTTTGCAATCATCATCATCATCATCTTCGTCAAAGCCTTTTCTCACTAATTGAGGTCGGCTATACGAATCCTGGTTTGCCATTTTGCTCTATTGAGGGTCATGTCCTAAATGAGACCATAAGTCCTCATATATATTCTCACTACTTCCAACCACGTCCTTTTGGGCCTATCTTTTTCCCTTTTGACCATTCCACTTGAGCTAACTCGCGCTTTCTTACCGGTGTTGTATTGGGTCTGTGCCACACATACCCATCCCACCTAAGTCTACTCTCTCTCATCTTATAGCCTATTAGTCCCAAACTTAAATTTTCTTGATTGTATTCATTTCGAATTCTATTCTTCCTTGTCTAGCCAATCATCTATCCCAACATCCTCATCTCCACTGCATTCATTCAATTGGATATTGTTTTTTAACCGCCCAACATTCTGCCCCATAGAGCAAAATTGGTCTCACAACTGTCCTGTAGTACTTGCCCTTCAGCTTCATTGGTATGTGACGATCGTATAAAATTCCAGTTGCACATCTGCACTTCACCCACCCAACTCTAATTCTATGTATTACGTCTTCCCCAATCTCTCCATTTTTCTAGATTATCGACCCAAGATATCGAAAGTACTCTCTTTTTGGTATTTCCTAGCCATCAATCTTAACTACTCGTCTCTACTCCTATTATTATTAAGCTTACATTCTATAGAATTTGTCTTAGTCCGACTAATTTTGAAACCTTTGGATGCTAGAGCATCCCTCCAAAGTTCTAAATTTGTGTTTTGGGTCTCATCGATCAAAAGTATATAATTTATGAACAACGTGCATCACGGTACCTCATCTTGTAGGTGCCTAATTATGTCGTCCAAAAATAAGAAAAAGAGGTATGGGCTGAATGCTGACCCCTTTTGTAGACCTATTGTCACTAAAACCGTCTCTCCACTAGTTGTTCATACACTAGTTAGCGCTCCACCGAACATTTCTCTCACTAAGTCGATGTAATGTTTGGAGACTCCTTTATTTTTCAACATCCACCAAAACAAATCTCTAGGTACTCTATCATAAGCTTTCTCTAGATCAATAAAGACCATGTGGATGTCTTTTCCCTTCATACTAAACTTCTTAATGTTGCCTAAGTAGGAAAATAGGCTTGGTTGTTGACTTCCTTGGCATAAAACCAAATTGGTTTTTTGATACACACGTTTTAGTCTTAGTCGTTGCTTGATCACTCTCTCCCAGAGCTTCATAGTGTGGCTCATAAGTTTGATCCATCAATAGTTCACACAGTGTATGTCTCCTTTGTTCTTGTAAATAGGTACCATAATACTTTTCCTCCATTCGTCTAGCATTTTCTTTGTTCTCAAAACCTTGTTGAACAGCTTGGTCAGCCAATCAATGCCAATCTCCCCATGCACTTCCAAACTTCTATCAAGATATCCTAAAGCCTTTCCTATCTTCATCCTTTTCAAAGCAGTGCAGGCTGTCATGTGCCCAGAGTCTGGTCTCCCACCCATTAAACTTTTCGAAATCTAATCCAACTCATTGTCCTCTCTTTGAAATTTTGCTACTCTTGGCGATGCTTTCCATGTACATGATGCTCAGTGAGGGCGGTGCCTAAGGAAGCAACCCCCTTTTTCAGTACCATACTTTGGACCTCCCTTTGAAGTTTTTAACTGCTTGTAGGACCTCCCTCCACAGCTGGCTATCCTCATTGCAAATCTCCACTACCATTTTCCTGAAAGTGTCATATCATTTTCTCTCATCCTTCCCAAAAGTCCCCATACTTTTTTGTATAGACGAGCACAGTCCCAAGCAGTGAGGTGGAATTTGTGTTCGTCATTGGTCCCTGACCACAGAAAATTTCTCATATGACTCTTAATCTTAGAGACCACTCACGCCGGCATATGGAATAAGGACATTTGGAAAATAGGGATGTTTGCTACAATTGCTTTGATTAGGGTGATAACCCCCCCCCTCCCCCCCCCCCCCCCCCACCCCACCCACCCACAACACAAAAACAATGGATAAGAATCGGCCTTTCCATCATGCCAGCCTTCTGTTAAACCTTTTTGTGATTGTATCCCATAGGTGCTTCCTGGGATTTCCAATGCGTAAGGCTAGGCCTAAGTATTTTGAAGGTAGTCTGTCCACCCCACAGCCCAGCTGTTGTGCCAATCCTTGGACGGCCTCATCATTGAGCTTTATGCCCAGCATTTTGGTCAATGTATTCACCTTCATACTGGTACAAATTTCAAAACATCTGAGGAATAATCAGAGGTTGTCTTGCTGTGAAGGCAAGCTTCTCAGAAGATTTGGTATCGTCGCATACAGGAGGTGGGTGATGTCTGGTCCATTTCCAGGGGTAGTGAAGCCCTTCAAGAATCCTTGTTCGTACAGTCTAGAAATGGACTTTTGAGGATAATTTACCTACTCTTGGAAGTAGGAAGGGGGAAAGAGGATTTAAGGGTTACTTATATCATATATGCCTTTCAAAATTTGCACTGGATGCTTTAACCAATAATGGCTGGATCTTCCCATTTCTTATTAGTTTATCTGAAAGAACCCAAAGAAACATTGAGTACTTTGTGTTTTTGCGGTAATTTTTAGAAATGATCTACTTTATTGTAGGGACAGGTTGATGGTCTTTGGTAGCTTTTTGTTTTATCATTTTATTTTATTTTGTTTTTGATTCATGAGATCAAGATGGATTTTCTTTTGGAAAAGATGAATATCTAGATGGGTCAGCTATGATGATCATATTGGACGGGATTTGCCTTAGCTCATTGTCTATTGGCGAAGTTGGGTCGTTGTCGTCATGAGCAAATCAATTTCAAATATGTCACAGATGACTATGACCAGAATGGTAATTTAGTTTGTGCCTTGTGTGGGTGGGACATACCCAGTTTCTTCGCAATTATGCACCCTGCTACTTTCACTTTCTAAAACGATATTCTCATTGTCATGAGACTTAGTTTAGTTACTTCACTGGTGGTTGCTAGCACCATCCGGTGGCAGAAAACTGCTTCCTCACCACTTCCGAAAGAGAAGTGGAGTGCTCTCACAACACTTGATCCCAC